GTTCTGTTAGTCACAGTTAGTCACATTTATACAGTGGCATGCGTTTCGTGCTTAGTTTGTTGCTCTTCCCTGCACCTCTTATCACGGTTGGCTTCGTAGGGTGCGAAAGAAGTTATACATACGTGCATTGTTAATGTGACAATATGCAGTCCACATTACTGGTTGGATTAGTCACAAGTTATTCAACGTAGGATAACGCGAATAGGCATGCAATTAAACGGTGTTATGAATTAATCACTCGCTTCCAAGGCAGCGCTGAGCTCAGGACAATAAAAATTTATATCAATTTTAGATATTAACGCATAAGTCTTAAGCAGTAATAATTCATTTTCCACAAAACATAAACCTTATCAAATCCTCGTTTTTTTAAAAGCATCGATAACACATTAATAACGCGATTTATTTAAACAAAACATTCCCGCGCAAACCACCGCGGATTGCGAGGGGCCCCGCAGTAAAATGGCGGACGCGGCCCCGCACCCTTCGTACTCGGCCCCGCACCCTTCGTACTCACGGAAGCCCCGCGGAGAGCGGCGGCGAGACGCACCGAGTCCCTGAGGCCCGCGGGCGCCGTCACGAGCCACTGGGCGTGCCCACCACAAGCGGGGAGGCCCCAGCGCTCCTCACCACTGCCCGGCGGCAACTCCCACCGGCGTCTGCCCCGCAGCAGGCTCCGTGACCCCCACGACCTGCCGCTAGCCCCGTCGAAGACGAAGCGGAGCGGGAAGGACGCGCACACGGCACCCACGTTCACCTCCAGCTGGCGCCACTGTCCGCCACACAGCCAGTCTTGTTCAGCTTCGCGCTGTTGCTGCCGCTGGTCGTGGTGCAAAAAATAAATGCGGTCGAGCAGGGAATCCACCGCGTCCACGCAGAGGGTGGACGCGGCGGGTTTCCGCTTCGAGCCCTTGGCCAGGCCGCTGAGGCGAGTGTACGGGCATTTCTCTTTGGAGTCGAGGTACCACACGTGGCGGCTCAGCCACTCCATGAGTTAGTCGTCGTAGTAAGCGAGGCTCTCTGCTCGAACTACGATGGCGACGATTCTTCGATAAATCTCGCGGGACCGCGCCGCGTGGGCAGCGTTGGAGCCTTCAACACGCGGCTTCTGAGGGGCCACGCGGGAGAATTTCCCGCCAAAAGTTCACAGCCCCTCCCCAAACCCCGCGTTGTCTCGCCCCGCCCACTCAAACGGCAGCCCCGCCCATTCGCACGATAGCCCGCCTACTTAACCGGTAGCCCCGCCCACTCGACCGGTAGCCCCGCCTGCAGCAGCGGTGATGCAGAACCTGGCGACCCCGGTTCGATTCCAGGTCACGGCCAACACCGGTGACGATTATCTGGACCGGTCCTGGACCTTCCCCAGGTCGACTCAGCCTCAAATGAGTACCTGGCGCGGTGTGTAAACATCGCCACTGGCGAGACAAAGGCGGCCGGGCGTGGTGTCGGCCACCCACCCCCTCGTGTGCCGTACCGGCCTTCATCGGTGCTGCTCGCTAGCAGCACTTGCCCCAACGGTCTGCTAAGGCTATATGGGGGATCTTTGTCCAACTGTGGGCCGGTTTCGCTCACGGTAGGGACTCATCAGCAGAGTCACACCAAGTAGCCAATGCTCACGATTGCAGAGTCCGCATTTTGTTCGGCTCATGCCAAACAAATGATTAACTCAACCCAACAAACCTCTATTATAAATGATCAACTCTGTAATGACGAGAATCCCCCATGATCAAACTAAACTTATTTTAGCAGGTAAGGTCCGCTGAGCTTTCTAGCCCCTTTTCAGAAGCGAGCTGGCTATCACAAACGATAGCTCAACGAAGTGGCTTATCACGTGGACATTGTATAGCAGCTACATACTCCAAACGCGTAGTGATGTTGAGTCTAAATGTGCAGGGGGAAACCAGAGGACTCGGAGAAAAATCCACGCGACCACGGGGGGGAGAGAGACACGCAAACTCCAAATGTAGAGCAGGCGTGAAGGTTGAGATCGAACCCACAACCTCCTGCATACCAGGCGAGGTAGTTAACATCTCCACAACCTCCTGCATACCAGGCGAGGTAGTTAACATCTCCTAGCCACCGTGGCGCCTTTAATAACAAACATCACGCAGGCGCCGGTGCACAAAGCGCTCGGCCTTCGTGCGTTATGGAAACGGCATCCACCGTTCCCGAAGGACTCTCTTGGCGTGGGTCAGAGTTCACATGCATTGAAGCAGATTTGACCGACAGTACCAACAGCAGTCATTCAAAGATGGACAGCTGTAGGCTGGTTTCGCCATTACGATGACTCAGAGTGATAACTGCGGCATTTCACGAGGACAGTCTTTATTTTGTATTCCGTGTACACGTACAGTACAATAAAATAACTCACAATCTTTTTCATGGATGAGGGTCCCTCCTTGGCATGCGAGTGGGGGGGGGGGTTGTATGACCATACTTCACCACGCTGGTCAATGCGGGTTGTGTGACCCAATACTGGTTCAGGCATGATCACCATCGTACATCTGATGCTAGCCGTGTCCCAGAATCAAACTTGGATGAGCAGAGTTCGAGGGCGCGGTGGTTGCTAATCACTGCGCCACCGATAATGTCGCAAAACATTTGATGACCCGACTGGACATCTGTGAAAACGAGTTTCATAGCTCATCGGATTCCTCCTGCAGTCCAAAATAAAGATTGCGATTCTGACTTTACCGAAAGACCCAAAGAGTATGAATTCCTGCAGTCACGAAAGCTTTAAGTCAAGATTCTGATTTCTTGTTTTAACACGGATAAACTGTGCTTCTAAATGCCACCAAGGGGTGGCAGTATAGGATAGGAAAGACCATTGCTCGATCTCTGATTAACCACATTAACCACACGTTAACCACACGTTAACCACACATTAACCACACGGGAGCTGTCTGCTGCCGTACTGCGGTACGCACGACGGGAGGTGGGCACGGGTGGGGGCTTGATCGGCCACTGAACGGCACGGAGTTCGTCCCAGCTTGCGAATAGCGAGGCTCTTTCCTCTCCTATGACACCTGGGACTTGGCCACGGCAGATTTTAAAGATGTTTTTTTTTGTTCAAATGTTCTGAGGATTTAGCTTCATATTTTTTTTTGGATTCTCTTATTTTTGTTGCCAGATTTCTCAACCATTGCTCGTCCGCAACTTTGTCCAGAAGGGGTGCTCGTAAATAACTTTTGAATGAACGCAACCCCACGCTACAATCATCTGCCACAAAACTCCTCGCGCGGCTCCCCGTTGGCCAATCGCCTGCTTCACCAGGCCTGAGATTCCATGCCACAGCGACAAGTAGACAACCAGAAATACGCAGCAGCACCACATACCACGAGTTGCAACAGAGCAAGTCCATAATATAAGTAATTGTGTGGGGTTATATCGCGTAAATATAAATGTGTTGTTAAACCCGCCACCACCCGACGCAGCCAATGAGTAAGGGTTGTCACGTAAGCAGAGCCTGGTGACAAGGCGCAGATTTTCTGGGTTATTTGGTGGGGCCGGGTGGAGTTTGCCGAGGCGGGGTGGGGTTGCAACTGGGGTGTACGATGGTGGTCACAACCAAGGCAACAACAAAAACAGCCTTAACAGACTGTTGGGGCAAGTGCTGTTAGCGAGCACCTATGAAGGCCGGCATGGCACACGAGGGGGTGGGTGGCCAGCACCGCGCCCGGCCGCCTTTGTTTCCCCAGTGGCGATGTTTACATATCGCACCAGGTTCTCATTTGAGGCTGAGTCGACTTCGGCGATGCCCATAACTTATTCAGATAATCGTCACTGGTGTTGGCCGTGAGCGGGAATCGAACTCGGGCCGCCGGGTTCGTAGTGCAGCGCGCTAACTGTTACACTACCGCTCCCCATACCACCACCAACAACATCACCAACATCAACAACATCAACCACCACCTAATACTGTAACAACATCAACACCGACTGACGACAAACACTGACAGCGACAAGCCAACACAACCATCGCGACGCGAAGAGTAACACTGATGATGATGATGAAAGTGATGATGATTATGATAATGAACTGATGATTGCAACGATCCTACAGCTAATGACGCTGGAGCTAACAATGCTGGCTGTAGACGAAACTTGAAGATGCTGGAATTAATTCTGAAACCGAGCTGCATGTGCTGCTGATGAAGATTGATTCTGATCCTGCAGCCGACAATGATGATGATGATGACGACAACAATCTTGGAGCAGATTATAATTATGATGATCCTGGAGTTAACTGCTGATGATGCTGATGATGATGCGAGTGGAGGGCGCGATGGCACAATGAGCCTGAGTGGTTTATTTCGTGAAAAAAAACGCGAGCGTCCGCCTGCCTCCACGCGGAGGTTTCCAAAACCAAACGTTCGAATTGCCGAAGCCTCGATGAGTCTCAAACACCCCCAGGTGCACGCTCCATCAATGAAGCGACACAGACACCTCTCGAGAGGCTCAGCACCTGGCGAGCTGGTAAGCCCCTCCCTCCTCCTCCACCAGCACCGCCCATTTTTATACGGCCACGCCCAGCGCCACTAAGCTCCACCCATAACCCGGGGTGGCCACGCCCGCTGCTCGGTTAGCCACGCCCGTTACTGGAGCTAGCCAGGTAGCGGTCGTGGTGGTGGGTCACGCTCCAAATTCTGTAAAATTTCATAAGTAAATAAAATTGACCGAAAAAAAATCAGTTGGGATGACACACGCGGCAACATCGACCCCCACTTACTCGGAAACTATCGCAGGTGCCACGTCCGTGAAACCACACCTGTCAACCCCTTGTCAGTGCCTGTTTTATTAGCGACCAATTCACACCTCATTGTTCACCCCGTCCCTTATAAATATCAACGTTCATCCTACAAAGTCCCAGCACAAGGGAGAACCACAAAGACAAAAAAATGATTTTTTTTTTTAAATGTGCCCGTATTGAAACGGCTGTACGCCGCACGGACCTAAAAACTCAATTTCCCTGTACAAGACTATGGCGTGAACCGTCTGGGTTGACAGCTGTGGTGAACACACAGCAACGCGTTCCTTCTGGGTTAACAGCTGTGGTGAACACACAGCAACGCGTTCCTTCTGGATTGACAGCTGTGGTGAACACACAGCAACGCGTTCCTTCTGGGTTAACAGCTGTGGTGAACACACAGCAACGCGTTCCTTCTGGGTTAACAGCTGTGGTGAACACACAGCAACGCGTTCCGTCTGGATTAACAGCTGTGGTGAACACACAGCAACGCGTTCCTTCTGGGTTAACAGCTGTGGTGAACACACAGCAACGCGTTCCTTCTGGGTTGACAGCTGTGGTGAACACACAGCAACGCGTTCCTTCTGGGTTGACAGCTGTGGTGAACACACAGCAACGCGTTCCTTCTGGGTTAACAGCTGTGGTGAACACACAGCAACGCGTTCCTTCTGGGTTAACAGCTGTGGTGAACACAAGCAACGCGTTCCTTCTGGGTTAACAGCTGTGGTGAACACACAGCAACGCGTTCCTTCTGGGTTGACAGCTGTGGTGAACACACAGCAACGCGTTCCTTCTGGGTTAACAGCTGTGGTGAACACACAGCAACGCGTTCCTTCTGGGTTAACAGCTGTGGTGAACACACAGCAACGCGTTCCTTCTGGGTTGACAGCTGTGGTGAACGCACAGCAACGCGTTCCTTCGCTCGCAACGCTCGCCCTGCCGCTCGCCACCCCAGTGTCGTTCACTCAGTCGCATCGGCGCGGGGGCCGCCACGCATTTGAAACCACTGGGGGTTTGACAGCCGCAGCATGATGATGATGGGGGAGGGGGGGGGTGTTTTCACTTGTTGTGTATTGTTGGGGCCCGCACCTCGGGGGCCGCCAGTGGCCAAGGAGCCTTGCAATGAAGAACACTGCGCTGGACGTTGTTGTCCTTCCCCCACGCTTCCGTTTAGCACGGTTGGCTACGTACGGTGCGAAAGAAGTTGAACAACGTACGTACGAACGATGGAGCGAATGCCACGCGCTCGAATAAACCCTTGGTACTCGCGGTGGTGGCGAGGAGGTCGGCAGTGGCTGGCGCAGCGCGGAGCGAGAGGCGGAACGTGATGCCCGCCGTGCGGCACCGGCGTAGCTCGCGAGTGGGTGTGCAGGCGGTGAAACTGCGCTGAGGCCCACGGGCCAGAGGGGAAGCCGAGGCTAAGAAGCGGGGGGGGAAGGGGGAAGGGTTGGCGGTGGGTGGTGGGGAGTGCCCTCGCTTTAGGCGACGTTGGCGTTTGTCTCCAGGGCGGCCCCTCTGGAGACGCTGGGGGCATGGGACGTGGGGGGGCCGGGATTCCATCCGTGCAAAAGGGCCCCACGCAACCCCCTCCACCAACACTACACCACGGGTCAAAGGCCATCAAAAACCATCACGAACACTCTCTCCTGGTACAGATTTGGCAAGACCTCACCAAATGTCTAACCTACAGAGTGAACCGTAAAGCTCTCTGGTTTTTTAAAGTCGGTTTGATTTTCAGTTGTAAAAGAATTAGTGATAGAGAGGTGCAAAAAGCGCACTAACCAATCGGACACCAGCTTCACTGCCAACCCTACCCACACGAGCCAATCAGACACCAGCACCACCTCCAACCCTACCCACACTAGCCAATCACACACCAGCACCACCTCCAGCCCTTCCCACACTAGCCAATCAGATACCAGCCCCACCTCCAACCCTACCCACACTAGCCAATCAGACACCAGCCCCACCTCCAACCCTACCTACACTAGCCAATCACACACCAGCACCACCTCCAACCCTTCCCACACTAGCTAATCAGACACCAGCCTCGCCTCCAACCCTACCTATACGAGCCAATCAGACACCAGCCCTACTTCCAACCCTACCCACACTCGCCAATCAGACACCAGCCCCACCTCCAACCCTACCAACACTAGCCAATCAGACACCAACCTCACCTCCAACCCTTCCCACACTAGCCAATCAGACACCAGCCCCACCTCCAACCCGACCCACACGAGCCAATCACACATCAGCCCCACCTCCAACCCTATCGACACTAGCCAATCAGACACCAGCCTCACCTCCAACCCTACCTACACGAGCCAATCAGACACCAGCCCTACTTTCAACCCTACCCACACTCGCCAATCAGACACCAGCCCCACCTCCAACCCTTCCCACACTAGCCAATCAGACACCAGCCCCACCTCCAACCCGACCCACACGAGCCAATCACACACCAGCCCCACCTCCAACCCTATCGACACTAGCCAATCAGACACCAACCTCACCTCCAACCCTACCCACACTCGCCAATCAGACACCAGCCTCATCTCCAACCCTACCCACACTATCCAATCAGACAACAGTCCCACCGCCAACCCGACTCACACTACCCAATCAGACACCAACCCCACCGCCAACCCTACCCACACTATCCAATCAGACACCAGCCTCACCGCCAACCCTACCCACACTATCCAATCAGACACCAGCCCCACCGCCAACTCAACCCACACTCGCCAATCAGACAACAGCCCCACCGCCAACCCTACCCACACCATCCAATCAGACACCAGCCCCACCGCCATCCATACCCACACTCGCCAATTAGACAATATCCTGACCACATGACCCTAACCTTAATACAAACAAACTAACCAATCAGCCCCCACCATTAAGCACAACCCAGACCCCAACGCTCACCATAGCTCCGCTCCCTGCGTTACCTCTTGCTTGCTCTCTAGTTGTGGGTATCACCAAGACAAAGATCCCCCGTATAGCTTCAAAAGTTTGTTGGGGCAAGTGCTGTGAGCGAGCACCTATGAAGGCCGGAATGGCACACAAGGGGGTGGGTGGCCAGCCCCACGCCCGGGCGCCTTTGTCTCCCTAGTGGCGATGTTTACCCACCGCACCAGGGACTCGACCAAGGGGATGCCCAGGATTCATTCAGATAATCGTCACCGGTGTTGGCCGTGAGCGGGAATCGACCTCGGGTCTCCGCCGGGTTCACAGCGCAGCGCGAACCGCTACTGCACCACCGCTCCCACGTAATACCGCGTGCACTTAAAACAACCAGACTGGCTATCGTAAAAGTAATACATACATATTTCGTCTCATATAAATAGTTAAAATAAAACCTCCGGGCCATAAATAGTGGAAACTGTGCAAAGGTGGCATTATCCGGCCAATGAGATGAGAGAGAACGATTTCACCACACTCTGCAAATGATCAAATACCCATCAGGCGGCCTTCACCCCCCTCTTCCCCCCTAACAAATAAAATGGACTAACCCATGGAAAGCTCGGCAACACTTGCCAAGTGGGCTCAGCATGGAACATTCAATTTGGTTCGTGTTTACAGGGGGGGGGGGGGGGGGGGTTGTGAGGGAGGATATTTTGAACGGAGTTGAATGGATCCAGGTGAACGAGTGTGAACGTGAACAACGCAGTCTCCCACCATCAGACGTCCACCACCATCTTCTTGTGAACATCCATCCCGCCCACCACCTGGGCACACGCGCACACACGCCACGGCCGGGGGGAACGGCGGGGGGGGGGCATCAGCACTGGGGGGGGGGGGAGACAAAGGCGGCAGAGCGTAGCGGCTGCCACAACACACCCTCCTCCCCCACCGCCACCCCCCGTGTGCCGTGCCGGTCTTAACAGGCGCTTTATAATAGCGCTTGTCCTGGTAAATCTAAGAGGATGTATGCGGTATATCTTTCTGATGTGCATGGGGGGGGGGGGGGGGGGGGTGAAGGTGGTTGTTGAATCGATGGTGCAGTCGTCAGCGCACTGCGCCAGGAACTCTGGGGCCCGAGTTTGATTCCCGCTCACAGCCAAAATCGGTGATGGAATATCTCATCCTGTGGGTGGTTGTTCCTTGGACAATTCAGCCTCAAATGATTCGTACGTCTGTATGTTGAACTTCTTTCGCACCGTACGTAGCCAACCGTGGCAGCCTGGCCACTCCACGCCCTCGCGTTCCGTGTCGACATTAGAGAAGCGGCTTGCCAACAGCATTCACTGACAGCCACAACGGTCTGTTAAAGTCTACACACGGTGGATCTTGGTCTTTGTACTTTGTGTGTGTCTATAAATGGAAGGCTGCTTACTAAGGGACTTGTAATAAATGTGTAACCTATCAGTACGCAGTGCATGGGGGAGGGCATGGACCACTATGGGTAGGAGATGTTAACTACCTCGCCTGGTATACAGGAGGTCGAGGGTTCAATCCCGACCCTGACTGACGCCTGCTGCTGCTGTATATTTCGAGTTTGTATGTTCTTCCCGTTGTCACGTGGCTTTTTCTCCGGGTCCTCCTGTTTTTACCTCCCTATTTAGAATCAACATCACGCGTTTAGAGTATTTGGCTGCTGTAAATTTCTACGTAATAAGGCACTCCGTAGAGTTATCATTTGTGCCCAGGTCGCCTCTGAAAAAGAGCTACATAGATCAGTGTGCCTTACCTGGTAAAATAAAAATCATCATCATCATCATCACAATCCATGGGCAGAGAGTCAGTAGGTGTCCACTGCACAATTGTCATTTGTTTCCACTTTCCTCTGTCTTGTGCCAATATTCTAAAGTAGTGGCCACATCTTTCTAACACCAATCTCTGATGTGGTCATCGTCAAGCCATTCCCTGTGAGGTCTTCCTCTCTTTCAGGTTCCTTACATTTTTCCGAACAACAACAACAGCAACACACTAGCAATGATCCTGTTGTTGTCCATCTTACACGTGTTCAAAAATAAAAAAGAGTTTAGTTTAACAGGTAGTAGAGCTCTCGCGACCAACATTATCCACAATAGGGTTTTTTTGGGTTAGATCGTGTAAATGTGTCGTGAAACCCGCCACCACCTGACACAGCCAATTAGTAAGGTTAGTCAGGTAAACAAAACATGCTAATGAGTTACTAGTACAGCAAACCGGTGTATTGGATAGTGAACCCACAACAACATTTACAATTCGAGTACTGTGACGTTTCACCGGTAATTACAACAACAACAACCCTCATCAGGTGACAGCCAGAAAGTTACTAATTCCCACGTTTTGTTTACGTCACAAACCTTACTCATTGGCTGTGTCGGGCGGTGGCGGGTTTCACCACACATTTTGTATTCACGCGACCTCACCCAAAAATCCTCCACTATGAAAAATAATTTAGTTTTATAGTGTTAAGTTTCCCGGCGTTGGCGACCACGAGGATCGCCGGGGCGGCGGCCGCGTTGGCGGCGCGACCTACGGAGCAGAACTCCTGGAAGGAGATGCGACCGTCGCCGTCCTTGTCGGCGTTGAGGATCGTCTTGTCCACGATCTGCTGCAGCTGCGTGTCCTTCAGGTTGTTGCCCACCATCATCTTGAGCACCTGGAAGAGCTCCCCGTTGGAGATGAAGCCATCGCGGTCCATGTCGTAGATTTGGAACGCGACTGGCGGAGGGAAAGGGCGGGGAGTGTGGGGTGTGCGGGACAAGGCAGGGGGGTGGCAGGCGGGGCTCGGGGAGAGCGTAATCCCCGGGGTGACGAGGGTGTCCGTGTGTGGGGGAGCGGTGGCGTCGTGGTTAGCGCTCTCTGATACAAAGCCGGCGAGCCGAGTTCGATTCCCGCTCACGGCCGACACCAGCGACGATTATGTGAACTGGTTCTGGGCCTCTCTTCGGTCGACTCAGCCTGGTGCGGTGTGTAACCATCGCCACTGGGGAGACAAAGGTGGCCGGGCGTGGTGCTGGTCACTCACGCCCTGGTGTGCCATGCTGACCTTTCATAGGTGCTCACTTAAGCACTTGCCCCAACAATTTGTTAAGGCTATATGGGGGATCTTTGTCTTTGTGAGACAGTCCCACCAAATTGAGGAGGCTCGTGAAAGAGGCTGCTGTGGAGTTGGAGGCAGTCGCCCTCCAGATACAACAGAGGGCAGAGGAGCGACGCTCACAACAACGAGCGGAGCACCGGGCAGATAAAACACAGCAAGTTGGCACAGTGGGGAGCACAGGTGGTGCATCTGTCGGCCATCTCAGTCAGTCAACCCATGGCACCTGCTGTCCCGTGACCTCCTACCCAGCAGCGACCCTTCAACATGGTCTCAAACTTCCCCTAGCCTGGCACAAGGGCCGTGGTGACGTCGTTGCCAATTAGCGACGAATGGCGGATGTTGGTGCACTGATCTACTCACATCGCAGCTTCTGTTCCTTGTCTCCCTTGACACTGAACTGTGAGACGCCTTCAATGAACTCTGTGGCAGAGAACCGACAAAGGCAAAGATCCCCCATGTCGCTTTCATCAGGTTGTTGGGGCAAGTGCTGTTGGCGAACATCACTCAAGGCCGACACGGCACACGAGGTGGGCGGGGGGTGGCCAACACAGACGCACGTACGGACAAATCGAGTACAATGAGGTCATAAAGTAGATGCTGTGTTCGCGATTGCAGTCGCGATCGCCGCGGTCGCGATCGCCGCGGTGACGGTCGCCGCGGTGACGATCGCTGCGGTTGCCGCGGTGACGGTCGCCGCGGCCGCGGTCGCGATCGCCGCTGTGACGATCGCCGCGGTCGCCACGGTCGCCGCTGTGACGATCGCCGCGGTCGCCACGGTCGCCGCGGTGACGGTCGCCGTGGCCGCGATCGCCGCGGTGACGGTCGCCGCGGTTGCCGCGGTGACGGTCGCCGCGGCCGCGATCGCCACTGTGACGATCGCCACGGTCGCCACGGTCGCCGCGGTGACGATCGCCGCCACAGCTGCCGCCGCCGTCGCCACGGTTACCCTTGAAGTCGACCTCCCCGTTGCCGTCGGTGTCGAAGATGTGGATGACCCTCTGCACGAGGGGGTTCTGCTGCAGCTCGGGCAGGGACATGAACTCCTCGACGCTGAGCGAGCCCGAGCCGTCCAGGTCGAGCTTGCGGAACCGCTTGCCCAGCCTCCGGATCTCGTCCGGATCGACTGCCCGCGGGGATCGGGCAGCGAGGAGTGGGGTTGGGGAGGTTAACGGGCGAACAGAGGGGGACGCAGGGAGATGTTAAAACATTTAACGGTGTTTATTGTACCAGGTAAAGCCCACTGAGCTACGTAGCTCTTGTTCAGAAGCGACCTGGAGATCAAAGCTCAACGAGGTAACGACTTAGCGTCATCACGTGGGCATTTCTAGCGGCAGCCAAATGCCCTGACCGCGTGTTTCTAGACGCTCCGCCTGCGCCCCTCTGCCGACTGTGCCCCCCATGGCCGGCGACGGCACCTCAGCGACGCGAAGGCCAAGGGAGCTGGAAGCGAGAGGCGGCGGATCGAGGAGTCGCAGCGGCAGCACCGGGGTCACGCAGGGGGTACCTCAAAGGGCAAAAGCTTCCCCACGTGGGTCCTGCCCCTCCCCCCGCCACCCTCAGGGAGATTAAACAAAGAGTTGAAACACACAAACATGAAACACAAACCCATGTGTAGCCTACATAGGTGACACATGGGTTTGGGTGTCACGGTGGCTAGGAGATGTGAGACGAGGCACCATGTGAGACGAGGCTCTAAGGAAAGCTGTCTCGGTTGTGGACCAATCAATTTCAAGGACAGTGCCAATACAATATCAGAGTTATGTTTTTTGTTTGCATTCCGACCGCAGGTATTGTGGTCAATGCAAACATGACTCCTTGTAAAAAAGGTGTCAGTTTTGTTGCCAGATTAAAGGGTAAAAAAACAATTATCATATTTTGCTACTGGTAAAGGAGGTTCCAATGGAAGAATAGTTTAGTTGACGTCGAACACCGTTGATCCAAGAGCTGTTAACAAAGTGCCTCCTGAGGCCCATAGTGACACAGGGCCTATGCGCCGGCCAGCACCCTGCACGGCCGCCTTTGTCTTCTTCCCTGCACTCGCGTTTGAAGAGTGCGGCAAAAACGCCGTTGGGGCAGAGTAGACCTCGGGTGAGGCCGCAGGACTGGTTCAGATAATCGTCACCGGTGTTGGCCGTGAGGGCGAGTGGAACTCGGGTCGCTGGGTTCGTAGCGCAGTTTGCTACCCGCTACGCCACTGTTCCCCATACACACGTACTGTATGCACAACCACACACACACAAAGGCAAAGATCCACCGTAGAGCCTTCATAGACTATTAGGGCAAGGGCTGTTAGCGAGCACCTACAAAGGCCGGCACGGCACAAAAGGGGGTGGGTGGCCAGCACCACGCCCTGCCGTCTTTGTCTCCCCAGTGGCGATGTTTACAAACAGCACCAGGTAATCATTTGAGGCCGAGTCGACCTCAGGGAGGCCCAGACACGGTTCAGATAATCGTCACCGGGTTGCAGGGTTCGTAGCGCAGCGTAGCGCTAACTGCTACACTGTAGCTCCCCTGTTCAGGCCGACGGTGGAATTGCTCAGCGATTGGCGCGCTGAGGGCATCATGAAGCCATGAGACCATGAGGCCATGAGGCCAGCATCTCCTGGCCAGAAACCAATTGTTCCACGCGAGATTCTACAGACTGCAACCACCACAACCACCACCAAGACCACCATCATGACCACCACCACCAAGACCACCATCATGACCACCACCACCAAGACCACCATCATGACCAACACCACCATGACCACCACCACCACCATGACCACCACCATCACGACCACCACCATCATGACCACCACCACCAAGACCACCACGACCACCACCACCATGACCACCACCACCACCACCATGACCACCACCAAGACCACCACGACCACCACCACCACAATGACCACCACCACCACCATGACCACCACCACCACCACGACCACCACCATCAGGACCACCACTGCCAAGATCACCACGATCATGACCACCACGACCACCACCACAACCACCATCATCACAGCCACAACTACGACCATCACCAAGAACACCACCACCATCACGACCACCACCACCAACAGCACCACCGTAGGTTCTACACACACCAAAGCGGTTCAAATAAATATCCCCCGCGTGGCGACGAGCTGTGAGCTCACTGGACGCGCGACTGCACGGTGGAGAGGAGGTGGAGGTGGTGGTGGTGAGGTGGTGGTGGTGGTGGTGGAGAGGAGGTGGTGGTGGTGGAGAGGAGGTGGAGGTGGTGGAGAGGAGGTGGAGGTGGTGGAGATGGTGGTGGAAAGGTGGTGGTGGTGGTGGTGGAGAGGAGGTGGTGGTGGAGAGGAGGTGGAGGTGGTGGTGGAGAGGAGGTGGTGGTGGAGAGGAGGTGGAGGTGGTGGAGAGGAGGTGGTGGTGGTGGAGGTGGTGGAGAGGAGGTGGAGGTGGTGGTGGTGGAGAGGAGGTGGAGGTGGTGGAGAAGAGGTGGTGGAGGTGGTGGTGGTGGAGAGGAGGTGGTGGAGGTGGTGGTGGAGGTGTTAGTGGAGAGGAGGTGGAGGTGGTGGAGAGGAGGTGGAGGTGGTGGAGAGGAGGTGGAGGAGGTGGTGGAGAGGAGGTGGTGGAGGTGGTGGAGAGGAGGTGGTGGAAAGGAGGAGGTGGTGGTGGTGTTGGTGGTGGTGGTGGAGAGGAGGTGGAGGATGTGGTGGTGGTGGTGGTGGAGAGGAGGTGGAGGAGGTGGTGGTCTCCGTCGTCGTCGGAGCGAAGGGAAGGCGACTATCACGGCCAGAGGTTGACATTGTCAGGAGAGAGTCAGCGGAGTGAAAAGGGCTCATGATTGACGATCCAGGGCGCCAGACCTGCTGTGTTGTCGTGAATGTTTAATGGCAATCACTCCTCCAGCCGTACTCTCACACACACATATACAGTGCTCTTTATGCACACACACACACGTGTGTGTATGTACACTACCGCTCCCCACACACCCAGTGTGTGCGTGTGTGTGTACACTACCCGCTCCCCATACACGTGTGTGTGTGTATACTACCGCTCCCCATACACGTGTGTGTATGTACACAACTACTCCCAACACGTGTGTGTGTGTATACTACCGCTCCCCAAACACGTGTGTGTGTGTGTGTACACTACCGCTCCCCACACACGTGTGTGTGTGTACACTACTACTCCCCACACGTGTGTGTGTACACTACTACTCCCCACACGTGTGTGTGTGTGTATACTACTACTCCCCACACACGTGTGTGTGTACACTACCGCTCCCCACACACGTGTGTGTGTGTGTGTATACTACTACTCCCCACACACGTGTGTGTGTACACTACTACTCCCCACACGTGTGTGAAATGCACCGTCGAGAACTTCACCTTTCATGAATGCAAAGGAATTAAATCCTAAAGATGAGCGGCTAAAAATCAGACATCAATGAGCTTTTGAGAAGGATTTCACAAGTTGGAAGAAAAATCCGAAACAGTTTGCTGTGGCAAAGGCAAACGACGAAGCGCGGAGGAGCGATGCTCACAACAACGAGCGGAGCGCTGGGTGGCTAAAACGCAGCAAGTTGGCACAGTTGTGGTCACAGGCGGTGCATCTGCCAGTCGTCTCAGTCAGTCGAACCCGTGGCACCTGCTGGGTCTGTCCCGTGACCTCCTGCCAGCAGCGAGCCTCGACACTTCACGTGGCCTCAAAGTGCACCTAGCCTGGCACAGGCGCCGTAGTAAAGTCACCGCCACTTTCATTATTGGTGAACGGCGGTTGTTGTTGTTTGCATGGGGAGCGGCGGACAATGGAGGAGATGGAGCATGGAAATCGGCTCGTGAGCGAGCGGTTTCCGGGCGGGTCTTGGTATCGCAGGATCCTGAGAGGTGGCGGTGGTGGTGGCTTTTGGAGGAGGCCTTCAACCAGCAGTGGATTGATCATGGCTGATGATGATGGTGGTGGTTGATGATGAAGGCACAGTGTAGGAGGCATGCAGCTACAGTGGCAAGCTAATGAAATGGCACGAAAATTGTATATTTGGATTGCAAATTACATAATGGGTGCGATAATAACGACGCGTGACCGCCTGTAATTAAGGGAAGCTATTTCGAATGTTTGCAAGACAACATTTGTCATTGCACAAGATCCACAAGGACAAAGATGCCCCGCGTGTAGCCTTAACAGACTGTTGGGGCAAGTGCTGTTAGCGAGTAGCAGCACCTACAGCGAGGGAAAAAGTATTTGATCCCCTGCTGATTTTGTACGTTTGCCCACTAACAAAGAAATGATCAGTCTATAATTTTAATGGTAGGTTTATTTGAACAGTGAGAGACAGAATAACAACAACAAAAATCCAGAAAAACGCATGTCAAAAATGTTATAAATTTCTTTGCATTTTAATGAGGGAAATAAGTATTTGACCCATCTTGGTGGCAAAACCCTTGTTGGCAATCACAGAGGTCAGACGTTTCTTGTAGTTGGCCACCAGGTTTGCACACATCTCAGGAGGGATTTTCTCCCACTCCTCTTTGCAGATCTTCTCCAAGTCATTAAGGTTTCGAGGCTGACGTTTGGCAACTCGAACCTTCAGCTCCCTCCACAGATTTTCTATGGGATTAAGGTCTGGAGACTGGCTAGGCCACTCCAGGACCTTAATGTGCTTCTTCTTGAGCCACTCCTTTGTTGCCTTGGCCGTGTGTTTTGGGTCATTGTCATGCTGGAATACCCATCCACGACCCATTTTCAATGTCCTGGCTGAGGGAAGGAGGTTCTCACCCAAGATTTGACGGTACATGGCCCCGTCCATCGTCTCTTTGATGCGGTGAAGTTGTCCTGTCCCCTTAGCAGAAAAACACCCCCAAAGCATAATGTTTCCACCTCCATGTTTGACGGTGGGGATGGTGTTCTTGGGGTCATAGGCAGCATTCCTCCTCCTCCAAACACGGCGAGTTGAGTTGATGCCAAAGAGCTCCATTTTGGTCTCATCTGACCACAACACTTTCACTCAGTTGTCCTCTGAATCATTCAGATGTTCATTGGCAAACTTCAGACGGGCATGTATATGTGCTTTCTTGAGCAGGGGGACCTTGCGGGCGCTGCAGGATTTCAGTCCTTCACGGCGTAGTGTGTTACCAATTGCTTTCTTGGTGACTATGGTCCCAGCTGCCTTGAGATCATTGACAAGATCCTCCCGTGTAGTTTCTGGGCTGATTCCTCACCGTTCTCATGATCATTGCAACTCCACGAGGTGAGATCTTGCATGGAGCCCCAGGCCGAGAGAGATTGACAGTTATTTTGTGTTTCTTTCATTTGCGAATAATCGCACCAACTGTTGTCACCTTCTCACCAAGCTGCTTGGCAATGGTCTTGTAGCCCATTCCAGCCTTGTGTAGGTCTACAATCTTGTCCCTGACATCCTTGGAGAGCTTTTTGGTCTTGGCCATGGTGGAGAGTTTGGAATCTGATTGATTGATTGCTTCTGTGGACAGGTGTCTTTTATATAGGTAACAAGCTGAGATTAGGAGCACTCCCTTTAAGAGTGTGCTCCTAATCTCAGCTCTTTACCTGTATAAAAGACACCTGGGAGCCAGAAATCTTTCTGATTGAGAGGGGGTCAAATACTTATTTCCCTCATTAAAATGCCAATAAATTTATAACATTTTGACATGCGTTTTTCTGGATTTTGTTGTTGTTATTCTGTCTCTCACTGTTAAAATAAACCTACCATTACAATTATAGACTGATCATTTCTTTGTCAGTGGGCAAACGTACAATATCAGCAGGGGATCAAATACTTGTTTCCCTCACTGTATGAAGGCCGGCACTGTGGCACACGAGGGGGTGGGTGGTCAGCACCACGCCCGGCCGCCTTTGTCTCCCCAGTGGCGATGTTTGCACGCCACACCAGGAGGTACTCATTTGAGGCTGAGTCGCCCCAGGGGAGGCTCAGGACCGGCTCAGATCATCATCACTGGTGTTAACTGTGAGCGGGTGTGTAGTGCAGTGTGCTTACCGCTACGCTACCGCTCCCCATAACACACAACAAGAGCTGCCATTCGGCACGCAGTGGCAATGACGATACCACAGCGCTTGTGCCAGGCTAGGTGCACTCCGAGGCCACGTGAAGTGTGGAAGGTTCGCTGCTGGCAGGAGGTCACAGGACAGACCCAGCAGGTGCCATGGGTTGACTGACTGAGATGGCTGGCAGATGTACCACCTACTGCGATCTTGACTGTGCCAACTTGCTGTGTTTTAACCGCCCGGCGCTCCGCTCGTTGTTGTGAGCATCGCTCCTCCGCTGTTGTTGGGTGCGAAAGAAGTTGAACATACGTATGTACTTTGCACGACTATCGTGTTTGTTGTTGCAACGTGTTCTCACCCACGGCTACTGGACATCTGTGCAAAAGAGCTTTATAGCTCATCAGAATCCTCCAGTATAAAGACTGATTCTAATTCTGAACTGCCCAGCAGCATCCTTCGCGAGCCTCCTCCACAGAGGCCGATCTTGACACCGCTGGTACCGGTCATCGGCAATTTCACTCACCCACCTACCACTCACCACCCACCTACCACTCACCACCCACCCACCACTCACTACCCACCCACCACTCACTACCCACTCACCACCCACCACCCACCCACCACCCCTACCCCAGACCACCGTGTGGTGAGATGCGGTGCGGTGAGACGGGTCTACATCTGCCATCAGTGGGCGGGGGTGTAAACTCGCGGCTGTGATTAACCGTAATTGGGGCACGCCTGACGCAAGTGTTTGCATTAAGTGCAAGTTAAATGAGCCCCTTGGAGGTGGGGAAACAGACACGCGGACCCAGGAAGATCCCCCATGTAGCCTGCATAGACTGGTTGGGGCAAGTGCTGTTCGCTAGCCCCCATGCAGTGTGGGACCCGAGTTCAATTCTCGCTCACGGCCAACAGCAGTGGCGATTATCTGAACCGGTCCTTGGCCTCCCCTAGGTCGACTCAGCCTCAAATTAGTACCTGGTGCAGTGTGTAAACATAGCCACTGGGGAGACAAAGGCGGCCGGGCGTCGTGCTGCTACTCGCTAACAGCACTTGCCCCTATAGCCTGTTACAGGCGACATGGGGGAAGCTTTAGGTTCCTGGAGCGGTGGCC